ACCCTCCCACCCCTGGTAATCTGCTTAAGAGTAATCACAGAAAGTTTAAAACATTAATAGCTTGCTATGCATAGATATGGAAGATAGCAGTAAACATCAACCAAACTCCAGAAGGTATAATCAAAACTACACTATGTTGACAAGACTTGGAATATTAATACAAGTTCTAAATACAGTTATGGCAGTACAACTTGTACAAGGCATTCTCATTTTCCTGCAATACTGACCCCAAAACACCAAAGCAAACAATCCTGCAGAAAAGTTTTGTCGTGACTGAATAGGACCAATACCGTGAAGAAAAGGAGACCAAGATGAGCTTCTTCAGAGTAAGGATTGCTAAAGAGCTATTGAAATAAACAAAAACTACTACTGTTTTCTCCACTCTTCATCTTTCCCTAGATTTGTCTCCCAAATCTCCAAGGCAGACTTGGACAACAAGGGGGAAGAGAACCTGGTCTTCAGTATTTCTATTTCTTGACCAATTGATAATGTTACATTTCACTCACTATTTTTTTCCCCATCTAAGCAGTGAGTAATCTAGCTCTTTTTTCAGTAATCTGATTCTTTCCAGGGTAGTTAGGAATATTACTCCAGAATGTTTATATAAGAAGATGGCAAGTGGGCAAAAGCTGGTTTAGAAAGTCCCAAGTGTGTTAATTTGTTCATTGGCGGAAGAGAAGAAGGCACAATTATTAATCAGCCATCCCATCTTCCCTTTTGTCATAAACTACCCAGATTTATCTCACATGGCAATACTGTGCTATTTTTTTTTTAATGACCAGGATTGGGAATTTTCCAGAATAGTAGCCAAATTTTGTGCCATTGCAATGACAATCAGAAGTTACTGGATTTGACTGTCCTTTAGGTATCTTTAGTCTCAGGTACAAATACATTTTACTGGATATTGGATTCTGTATTCTTACCTGAACTTTTTGTTTTATTTTGGTCTATGACAGTAGAAGAGAAGGAGAAGGAGAAGGAGAAGGAGAAGGAGAAGGAGAAGGAGAAGGAG